GGTGTTCTTTAAAAATGCACAGAATCCAGGAAAAGTTAAAATAGTAAATCATTTGTGTAAGTGCCTCTTCTGCTAGGAATTTTCCCATCGTGGCCTTGGGAATTTGGATGCTGGAAGGAAAGGAGGAGGCCGTCTAACGTGAAGGTCTTTGGGCTTTGGACCAGAGGCGGCTGAGGATTGTGAAAGGGAAATGAAGGAATGCCAAAGATCAATTTAGATTACGTTGGAATTCTGCCTAGGAAGTGACTGGAGAGCCTGAGAAAATACTTTTTGCTTATTCTGTATTCAGGTAGACTCCGGAAATCGGTTGCTCTTATTTTATATCCGGTCCTGGTAAGAGAATGTATTCCCCTGAGCTATACATATGCTGTTTCTTGAAGCAATTTAAGAAATACAGTTTCTATGTGAAAAGTTCTTAAGTGCTTTATATGTTCAGACTCTGTGTGAAGTAGGTATAGATGGGTGTTTATTTCAGTACCTCTTCTTACAGAAATTAAAATTCATAGTTCTTATTTTGAATGCTCATAATTAGGTATAGTGTCTGATTTTGCTTGGTGATGGTAACATTTGGTTGTTAACCATTAAAGCTGCAATATGCAACATTTTAGGCAGCACTGGGAACACAGATTTATAAATTACTTTCCAAAGTTGTCATTGTACATGTGGAAATATAGTAGAATCTCTAAGGAGGTTCTTGACCTTGAACTGACAGGTTTTTTTTTTAATTCAATATTTGTTATCTCTTTTATATATAACAGCATAATTAAAATATTCATTTTACTTTTTGTGGTCTTTAAAATAAAACAAAATATGAAGCCATTCATTTGATAGGGAACCTATGAAAATGCTTAAATATACAAAACCAGATTTGAAATATAAGGTTTTTTTTTTGTTTCATCCACGTCAGCATTTTTAGAAGCTAAAACAAATAAGAATATTTACTGCTAACTCCACTTTATAGAGCAGGGATATGATTATTATTCAGATGTGTGTGCTGAGTGTTAAAGATGCTTTGTGATTTTAGGAAACAAAACCACACACACATAAGTGCGGTCAGTGCCCTGTCAGTCTCAACCCAGTCTTGATAAGGCAAAGTCGTGCTAAGGTTACTGCCCTGTGCTGAGTAGTTCCTGGGTGTAGTAGATATGCCAGGGGGGCTAAACGTCACAGTGAAATGGAACCCAGGTGTGTGCTGTCCACACTGGCCGCGTTCATACGTGATGTCAGTGTGTGCCACTAGATCCAGCACTCTCATAACATGGGAGTTTTTGGCTGATGGGGTTATTTCCCAAGTTTTGTTGTTGAGAGAATGTTAATAGAGCTGAATTCTATTGGTTGTTATGAAGATTAAGTTCTCTCTTTTTTACTTTAAAAAAACTTTGTAAATGAAAAAAAAAAACACCTTTATGTGTTTACCTCTTATATATTTGAAAGATCGAGAGACAGATTTCTCATCTGCTGATTTATTCCCCAAATGCCCTCATTAGCTCTGACTGGGCCAGGCTGATCCAGGAGTCTGGAACCCAATACAGATCTCCCAACTGAGTGACGGAGACATCGCCTACTGTCTCCCAGGGTGGTGTGCAGCAGCAGGAGTCTGGGATCAGAAGTGGGGCTGGGACTCACACCCAGGCACTGTGATGCAGGATATGGGAGCCCCAAGCCATGTCTCAACTGCTACACCAACATCGTGCCTCTCAGATTCGATTTGAAACTTCCCAAGTTAGAAGTTCATCCCCTCGCCCAGACCCGCTCCTCCTTGTGTTTGTTCAATGCTGATCTTGCTTGAAAAGAGCTTTATCTTTGTCTTTCAGACATCAAGACAGCTTGCATGCAGTTGTGTAATGAATGGTTTTTCATCCGATTTTACTAAGTCCATGACTGGTCAGTTCTGCTCTGGCCTCTGAAGTGGGCTTGTGTACCCTAGACATACCCTTTGGAACGGTATTTGTCTTTGAATTTTGAGACGGAAAATACGTTGCAGAGGTACGGCCATGTGATGGGACCTGTTGATTTTTGTGATTGACAAGGAAGCTTCTGGCGATCGCAGTTCTTGGGCTTTCGTTCCATTGGCTGGGCTCCCAGTGAAGGTAACGTGGGGCTGTACAAGAGGTCTCCCCCGAAGTACACAATGTAAAGGAGGTCACAGTTTTGCCTCTTGCCACCACCTGTAATTAGCAGCTTTTCAAATGTTGGCGTTTTTCCCTGGATACAGATGCTTTCGGACAAAACAGAAATGATAGTGAGCCCGTGTGTGCTTCCCAGTGAACACTGCCTGTGCACACTTTCCCTTTGTATGAACTGTTTTGCAGATTTTTCAAGCTGTTTATCAATTGTTGGGTATTTATGTTTTTTACATTGTTGAAGATGATACTACTTATCCATGGAGAACTTCTTTCAGTCTATCTTTATGATATATTGCGATGTCTTTTAAAGAAAATTCACAGTGCTTTTACGGAATGAAAAGTGATTCTGTTCAGTTCTCCCTTTCCAGCAGTTGGGGCGAAATGCCCTTGTCTGCGGAAGTCTCCCTGCACACCATCACCACCTTGGTCTGTCCAGAATGGTGCGGTGGCACCGCCTTCGTCTGGCACCCTTTGGGAGTGCATCTCCAGTGGATACGTCACACAATGGAAACTGGCCTCTCAATGTCCATGCTTGGTAGCTGTACACATTGTGGATTAAATTTTCTCTTACATTGCATTACGTTGTGTTGCTGTTCTCCTTATCAAAATGATGAAATACAAAAATTGCAGTTTAGCCCCTCCTGGGTGTGTCACAGTCATCCATGTAAAAACTAGTTGTTGTTCAGACACTTCAGCTAAACTATGTTGTAAGGCTATTTTTAAAAGTTTGTGGAAAATGGAATTAAAGATGAATTCATTTTGGTGCAGAAATTTTGAAATCTTGCATAATGTTTTCATAATATACATTTTCTGTGAAGTCTTTGAATACTCCTGATATGTGTGGATTTTAAAGCTGTTTCGTGTCAAAATAATGTCTTTTGATTCCATTGACTACAAACTTGTTAAAGTAGCCTCATCTGTGTGTTCCTAAAAAACATTGCTTTATGCTAAATATGTGGGAAGCCTCACAGAGCTTGGGGTTGGGTACAGCAAACTCAGAAAACCGTAGTGTCGTGTTAAAAAGAAAAACAGAAACTGAATAAAAATTGTAGCACAGTTTTAAACACAGTCGATGACTGAGAAATACATAAAATAGTGCGGCAAATGGGTCACTTTATCTTGAAAAAGTCCCTGTGTTTGCTTATGAACTGCTGCTGCCTTGGAAGAGTGGCGGCCTGTGAGTTGCCCTAAGTGGTGGGATGTGAATTGCCTGAAATTGGATGGGGCACTGGGACACCAGGCACGGCCTGGCCGTGGCTCGCACAGCACACTGGCAGACACTGACGTTCCCTGTAGATGGCTGGGGACGTGTTCTCTGTGCCTGTCATCTGTCAAGATTGACAGGGTGGGGTTCAGCCTGGATGTGGCCTTTGTGATTATTTTTTTTTTAAAGATTTATTTATTTATTTGAAAGAGTTACACAGAGAGAGGAGAGGCTAAGGGAGAGAGAGAGAGAGAGGGTGAGAGAGAGAGAGAGAGAGAGGTCTTCCATCCGCTGGTTTACTCCCCACTTGGCCGCAACAGCTGGATTTGTGCTGGCCAGGAGCCAGGAGTCATGTCCAGGTTTCCCACTCAGGTGCAGGGGCCTAAGCACTTGGGCTGTCTCCTACTGCTTTCCCAGGCTGTAGCAGAGAACTGGATTGGAAGTGGAGCAGCGGGGACTCGAACTGATGCCCGTAGGGGATGCTGGCACTACAAGCCAGGGCGTTAACCCGCTACGCCACAGCGCTGGCCCCTACCTGGTGTTTGTAATGAAACCATGCAGCAGCAAACAGGAAGTCTGAGTTTTGTGTCATCTTGTGTTGGAACAAATACAGGTGTTTTAGCAGAGCCGAGTGTTGTGTGTGACAATGCAGTGATATCCAGGGGACAGCTGACATGTGAAACTCAGCTTGTCCCTTGTCTTAAGCAGGGCGAAGAATACACTAACGTGCTTGGAGAAAATCTGGCCTAAGAGTCCGCACCCTGGACGTGTTGGCGGTAACAATGGCGGTCATAAAAAATGCCGCTCGCTGGCGTTCGTGGGGCTCTGTTCTCTTTTTAGTTCTGACAGCTTGCTGTAGCAGTGCTTCCTGCCTGCTTTTCATGGACAGATTTCTCAGTCTCTCGTGGCTTGTAAATGAGTTCATTCCGCTTCTGAGAATTCCTGCAACTCCAGGCGCAGGATGAGAGAGCTTGACAGGTGCACAGACGTTAGCATATAGCGTACCTGTTTCGTCTTATTAATGAGCCCCTGCCTGTGTTTGCATTTGTGGGGTTGTTGGGAGAAACAGCTGATGTTTTAAGTGAAGCTGTTCATCATGCAGAATTTTTGAGTTTTCTGTTGGATTAGATAGAGATGAACCCACCTGTCTCTTTCCGTTCTCACCTGTGATGGAGCAGCGGGCCTGACTGGATGCCCCCGCAGGGTGGTTACGCGTTGTTGATCATTTTTCTGAAGTTGTCACTGTTCACTTCTATTTGCAACCAGTTGTGCTTTGATGCAATGAGCTCACCTTTGGCAGGGGCTGGCAAATGTGATTTTGGGAGACCTTCCCTCCCAACACCCAGAATAATTAAAAGTCCGCATCCTCCCTCTGGTCCTTTTTATGACTCCCCGAGAAGAGACGTTTCTAACATGAGCTGTTGCCGTGAGGCCTTGCTAGCTCCTGCTTTAGAACTTTAATACAAGGACAGTTTAAAACGCCGTCTAGATTCAGAAAGCCTTGTTAGTGTAGCGTGAAGGGAAAATAGCTTTGAGCTGTCATCGTTTAGGTATTCCGATGAAATTTTCATTTTTAATTACACAGAGGTACTCGGAGTATCAGTGGGTTCTGATTTTTGCTCTCTAATCTGGCTTGGAATTTTAAATGTTTGTCTCTACACCATTTCTAGGTATATGTGGGCTGCCTGACCTCCATGGGTGATTGCTATTAAGTAGCAGAGTGGGGGAAGGGGAGTTTGCCTTCCCAGCTTTGTGCCAAAGCCCTGAGAAAAGTAAGTGATTTTTCATGCAGTTTTTAAAATTCCATTACACTTCTCTCGGGATGAACGATGGCTCTGCAGCCTGGCTTAGTACATTTTCTTGCTCTTCTGGATTTGTAATGTGGAAGAAGACGCAGCAGATGTCTTTTTATACGAACCTCCCAGAGAGTAGGTTGACTTTTTCTGTGTTGTGTCGTTTCCTTTGGGTTTCACAAACGGAGTCCTCAAGAATGTGGACTTTCGTCTGGTTTGTTGATGAATTAAGCTTTAAAAATAAGGCAGTGTCATACGACTTGACAGGAAAGTGAGGCCAGTTCTCTGAATGTCGGGGTTTTAAAGCCTTAGGCGATTGGGCCAGGCTCTCTGGTTCCGAGTTTTTAGAGGAAGAATGAGGTCGGGTTGGTTGTTTTCATGACTGGAAAGGAAAGCAAACCCCTCACGTAGCTTGGTCTTCGGAGAATGACTGCAGCTCTCAGGTTCATCACTGGATCATGTTTTTGAGGTAGTCTCAGACTTTCGATTGAGATCCTGTGTGAATGTTTTTGCTGTCTTTTGGGAAAAAATAGGGTGGGTTGGGAACAGAAAGTTCAGTTTTAGTCCCTAATCTTTTTAAAAGGTCAAGTGAGCCTTAACAAAAATAAAGTCGACTACTTTTTTGTAGATACTGACTGCATGGCCGTATACATAACCAAATGGGTGGAAAAATCTATTTAAAATAAAATGAGAATGCATGTGTGCATGCACACAGAGACACACAGAAACACAAATCTCCTTTCTAGAATGTTCCAGAAATAATATCATTGACAATAGGAACTGTTGTCCCATTAAATTACAGGATAGTTTTCTAGACTTTGTATTCCTTGTCTTAATAGCCCTTCTTCAGTGTGACAGCACAGATGAGCTAATTGAAACATCTTTAAAAAGAAAACTAGACAGAAAAAAAGCTTTTCTCTAGAAATTCTGTAGAAACATTAGCTATTAAGATCACTTTTAGGGGCTGGTGCTGTAGCGTAGTGAGTGAGGCCACCACACGCAGTGCCGGCATCCCATATGGGCGCCAGTTCGAGTCCCAGCTGCTCCACTTCTGATCCAGCTCTCTGCTATGGCCTGGGAAAGCAGTGGAGGATGGCCCAAGTCTTTGGGCCCCTGCACCCACGTGGGAGACCCAGAAGGGTCTCCTGGCTTTGGATTGGCTCAGCTCTGGCTGTTGCGGCTAATTGGAGAGTGAACTGGAGGATGGGAGACCTCTCTCTCTCTCTGCCTCTCCTTCTCTGTGTAACTCAGACTTTCAAATAAATAAATAAATCTTTAAAAAAAAAATCACATTTATAGATTGATTAGATTTATTGTTTTATTGTGTTTACTATGAATTTAATTAGAATTATATATTTTGTAATGATAATAAGGTAAGGGTCTTCAATTATTAAGCTTTTTTTTTTAAAGTTTTTAAAATTTATTTGAGAGAGTGACAGAGAAAGAGAAAGCAATGTAGAAAGAGAGCTTCCGTCCACTGGTTCGCTCCCCAGTTGCCTGCAACCACTAGGGCTGGGCTAGGCAGAAGCCAGGAGTTTGTGCCAGGGACCCAGTGTCCAAGTGTTAGTCAGGCCTGTTACATTTAAATACAAGAGTGAAAAGAATCACAGGAATTTATCTAGTTGAATTTTGTTGTCTTGAAGTCACCTATGAATCTTCAAATAAAGGAAATCATGTGTGCAGCAGTTGTCATTCCGTTGTGGGAGGGCGTCTGAAAGAGGATTAGGTTGGAAGGCACCAATCTGTCCTCAGAAGTGGAATGAAAAGGGCAAAAGACTAATTCCCTGGGCTGCAGGGCCCAGATACAGTGGCGTTTAGAACAGAAATATAATTTAGCCCCAGAAAGCATGGAGCCGAAACTGCCTTTCAGATCACTTAGGAGTCCATTCGCTTTTAGGGGTTGTAAATATTCGCTCTTGGGGTATTTTGTGACCTTGTTGTAGAGTTTACTTCCCATGGTGTAGAGGCAAGGCTTTCATGGGACTTGAGTTTACAATAATAAGCTAACGACAGCCCCTGTGTTGCCAGAGGGACCAGGACAGAAGGTCTCTGCTGTCTCAGATTGACATTCTAGGTGGAAATCTTTTTTATTTTTTTAAAGATTATTTGTTTGAGAGGTTGAGCTACAGACAGTGAGAGGGAGAGACAGAGAAAGGTCTTTCTTCCATTGGTTCACTCCCCAAATGGCTGCAATGGCGAAGCTGCGCTGATCCGAAGCCAGGAGCCAGGTGCTTCTTCCCAGTCTCCCATGCGGGTGCAGGGTCCCAAGCACTTGGGCCATCTTCTGCTGCTTTCCCAGGCCATAGCAGAGAGCTGGATTGGAAGAGGAGCAGCCAGGACTAGAACCGGCACCCCATGGGATGCCAGTGCCCCTGGCGGAGGATTAACCTACTATGCCATGGTGCTGGCCCCGTGGAAATCTTTATGCTTAGAAGGATGTTCACAGTCCACTGTTAAGTTTCAAATGAAAGGCTCGTTGTGGAAGTGGGCTGCACACAATCTGGTGCTGAAGAACTAGATGCGTGGGGTTGACATGAAGGGGTGCAGAGGGAAGTGGGTGCTTCCTGACGTGTTGGAGAGTTGGGGGAGAATGCTTTCCCCGGGACTTTGTAAGCTGTGACGGCATCCTTAACTGTGTTTGAGAAAGCAGGCTGTAGGGACACTTGGCATCCCCAACACCGTCCACGTTACCTGACCCCCTCTTGGCCCCTGCTATTCTTTTTACCTCAATTATGTTGATATCGTGTTGTCACAGTCTCACCTGTTTTCAGGCATTTTCTTGACTTTATTTGAGGTAGATTTCTCGAAACCCAGTCTGTGGCGGTAAGCAAATGTTGATGTAACCTCCAAAAATTGGCCATAGTTTGTTTTAAAATAAGTTAAAAGCAACTTACGTTATTCTTTTAAGAATAACGTATGCTCCGGCTTCTCTGGTAGCTCATCTTTTCCACGTAGCTGTCAGTACCGAGTATTCACGCCAGTACTGACTTCCAGCATTGGCCTCGGGGAAGAGGAACAACCAGCTCTTAGCCTTTTGTGCCATTTTCAGCTATCCTGGCTTTCGGTTAGAAAAGAGTCTAAACACGTGAAGTACACCAGGAAGGTTTCTCCTGTGGGAACAGAGACTAGAATAGGATTCGTCTTCTATAATCTCTACGGTGTTTACTGTAGCCAGACAGATTAGGAATAGGAGACTTGTGGGACTCATGCATTCAAAATAGTGTCTCGTGCTGACAGGTACCATGTACATATAGACTGTGCGTCTCGCTTGGTCCCTTTGTGGTATCACAAGAGCGCAGGCACGTATGCCGCCTGCCTGGCGGTCTTAATCAGTGTCTCTGTGTCTAACGGAGGACTCCACCTGCGTGTTTCTCCCTCTGACGAACTCTAGATGTCTCAGCTGGAGGGACAGCTCACAGAGGAACATTGGAAAGACTTCTTTGAATATAATTTATTTATGGAACAAATGGAAATCTAAATTACTGGGAAGTGCGCTTGTCTCATAGTCCTCGTGTGCTGTCTCAGTTTTTCACCCACTTGGTAAGGCAGCGTTTCTGAGCAACTCCAGTGTGCCAGGGGCTGTATCAGGTGATTATTTCTCAAAGAGGGACGAGCGGTGTCCTTGTTCCCAGGGGATTTGAGTGTCTGATTCAGATTCAGATAGCGTACATGTGGTACTCATCACGTGGCAGCAGTGGACTGCATGAGGTGTTCAGCCGCTCTGACTCCCTGCTGGTATTTATTGGCCTGTCCCCTCCCATATTAGTGAGGAATAGAAATTTTCTAATCTTTCAATTTTTTTTTCTCCCATTATGCTTTCTTAAGCTTATGGCACCTGCCCTAGTTAATCTGTATTAGCAAATGGGAAAATGTTAACAAATAACAAAGATTTAATTGGTAAACTTAGAGGATTGATTTTGAATCCTTTGTACATAAAATGTATCCATAATTTCTCTCAGTGGAATAGGTAGTTCTCATGATACAATGAAATGCATCAAGATGTCAGGGTGACATCGCCTTGTCTGAACAGGTTTGAAAGCCGTGGCATTAAGTCATTTTATCTCATTCGGAGGGTAGGCATTCCTGATGCTCTGCAGGAAAGTCACTCACTCGCCCAGCTTCAGACAGCTGGACAGTGTGGGAGTCCCAGTTCCAGGGCTGACCCGTGCAGCTAGAGAGCCAGGATGTGTCCTGCTTGCTGCTGTGAGCCGCTCATGCCGGCAGACTCCAATGCTGCAGGTGCACCAAGGAACAGCGGTCAGACAGCTGAGCCAACACAAAGTGCACTCACGGCTGCATCGCAGAGCTGGCCTTGAACTCGGTCTTGAGGGCCGAGGGAGAAGACAGAAAGAGGGAGCGGAGTTGGGGTTGTAAAAAAAAGCAGGTGCTCGGGCACGGAGACACGGGGCTGGGGGCATGGCCAGAGAGTGGCAGGGACTCCCCTGTGGCTGGCGAGTGGGGTGTGCTGGGAACCCAGACACGGCTCTGAGATGGAAAGGGCTGCTTGGTGCCAGAGGGAGGAGGGCTGTGGGGGCTCGTGCTGGAGACTGGGGCTGCCTCACACTAGGTGGCTTCCCGAGTTGTGAAGTAGGAGAAGCAGCGTAATCAGGTGGGAGTTTCACAAAGGTCCTTTGGTCCGCAGTATTGAATGTAGTCTGGAAAGGAGGAAGCCAGAGGCTGGGCAGCCAGGGCCACCATGTCCAGTTGTGTAGAGTGTTCACTGTGCAAATGAGTATGTGAACAGTGGCTGGGACTGGTGACCACCCAGCCGGTTGCTTACCAAGCTGGGTAAAATTTGCACAATAAGGTGCCTGGTTTGCCTTTTAATTCCTTATAAACAAGTAGGAGGGATTTGCCAGCTAGAGAAATAAGAGTGTTCCCAAGGCCTGCTTGTCTGGAGGCAGAGGTGAGGGTTTGTCTGCCGTGTGCTGTTGGCTGTGCTCTCCAAAAATCCTCTCGGAGCCTGTCTCCTCGTCTTT